ATATATATATATATATATATATATATACACACACACACACACACACACACACACACCTACCATCCAACTTACGACCTGCTCAACATACGTCCACTCGACCTACGACCATGCATCTGGCAGCTGGGCTGGGCCGGCTGATGCACACCACTGTACAATATTTGACAATACTTGCGGCGGCAATGCGTCATGCAGGCAGCATCAGTTTGAGTAGCCCTGTCCTATCAGCAGCATCATACTGTATTAACTGTACTAACTGGACAGTAAATTTCACCATGGCCCCCAAGATGAAGTCTGAATCTTGCACTGGAGATTGTGGCAAGAAAGGCTCTATTTGTTTTCACTGTTGCACATAAACCTGTCTGTATCTGTCTGCCTGTATATCTGTGTATCTCTGTGTGTCTGTTTATCTGTCTGTCTTTCTGTCTACCTGTGTCTATGTCTACCTGTGTGTCTGTCTTTATGTCTACATGTGTGTCTGTCTTTGTCTACCTGTGTGTGTCTTTCTGTCTACCTGTGTGTCTGTCTTTATGTCTACCTGTGTGTCTGTCTTTGTCTACCTGTGTGTGTCTTTCTGTCTACCTGTGTGTGTCTTTCTGTCTACCTGTGTGTCTGTCTACTTGTGTGTCTGTCTTTATGTCTACCTGTGTGTGTCTTTCTATCTACCTGTGTGTCTGTCTGTCTACCTGTGTGTCTGTCTATCCACCTGTGTCTACCTGAGTGTCTGTCTGTCTACCTGTGTCTGTCTGTCTTTCAGTCTGCCTGCCTGTCTCAGAGCCACTCATTAACCCGTAAACGGTCCAAACGTATATACAGGATTATTATTATTATTATTATAATCAAGGGGGAAGTGCTAAACCTGGAGGATTATACAGCACCTGGGGGGGGGATGTGGAAGGCATTCAGGCTTAATTCGGGGAACTGGAGCACAAATCCAATTCCCTAAATCAAGAGCCCCTCGCCAACATCAAGGAACCTTCCTTGAGGGGCGTATATACGTATACGTTTTTTCAACATTTGAAAGTATGTAAAAAAAGTAGATCTTCTTTTTGTTTTTTTACATTTGAAAATGTGTAATAAACCTTTGATCTACTTTTTTTTTTTGTTATATTTGAAAATATGTAAAAAAAACGTAGATCTACTTTTGTAGCACTACACATGTGAACGTAGATCTGCTTGGACCGTTTACGGGTTAAGAGTGTAATTGGTCTTGAAGATGCCGTATTAATGATGATAATAACACAATAATAATCACTGAGGCACCTTAAATGTGTATAAAACGTTGATATAGACATTTTGCTTAATCCATCTATGATTTCTTTTTCAAAATTATATAATAAACATGCTACATAACATATAAACATATAAATTAACAAATATGAGATGTTTTTCTGGTCGGCTTGACAGAGTGAACAGGAATCATTCGTGTCCGGGCTGGTAACAACAACAACAACAATGTTTGTTTACATAACTCGCCAACCTTCTACGCACTCATTCGTTTATTCATTTAATCTTGTTTACTCATCTCTCACTCTACATTAAGACAACAGATATTTTAAGGTAAGTAATGAGTGGACACGATTATTGTATTATAGTTTAATAATAATATTATTATTAATATTAGTACATATGTATTATAGTAATAATAATAATAATAATTATTATTAATATTATTATTAATTTAGGGCACTGGAGCGCAGATCCACTGTATAGCACTTTGGATTATTTGGGTTATCCTAGGTAATTTACACTATGTATGATAACTTTATTTTCATATAGTCGGACTTGAGTCCTGGAAATGGGAAGTACAATGCCTGCACTTTAAAGGAGGGGTTTGGGATATTGGCAGTTTGGAGGGATATGTCGTGTATCTTTATACGTATATGCTTCTAAACTGTTGTATTCTGAGCACCTCTGCAAAAGCAGTGATAATGTGTGAGTGTGGTGAAAGTGTTGAATGATGATGAAAGTATTTTCTTTTTGGGGATTTTCTTTCTTTTTTGGGTCACCCTGCCTCGGTGGGAGACGGCCGACTTGTTGAAAAAAAAAAAATGATAACTTTACTAACGTGTACCTGTGAGAGAGAGAGAGATACAGAGAGATACAGAGAGAGAGAGAGAGAGAGAGAGAGAGAGAGAGCCACATTCAGTCAGCCAATCACCCACCCAGCCTCCCACCCACCCGGCCAGCCAGCCAGCTACGTATTACACATGTTCCAGAGTTGTTTCTCTTTACTTAGGGTATAGGTTATACTACATTCTGGCAGGATGACACTACCAGTGATATTCTCTCATTCCACTGTGTCGACAATACATAAAAATAACATTAACATATGATACTGTATGCGATGTAAAATTTACAATACAGTTCACTACCATGTATACATTATATACAGTAAATAAATAATTATAATAGAAGTTAATTATGGTAAAAAGAATGAAATAATGATTGTACATTACATTACAGAACTATGTAGGTAGTTTATATAGGAAAAGTTTGACATTATGCCCTACCCAGTATGTCGGCAATTTTCAAAGGTTTGACTTACGTCCATTTTGACTTACGACCAAAAGGAAGATTTCTCTCTTTTTTTTTTTTTTCACAAGTCGGCCGTCTCCCACTGAGGCAGGGTGACCCAAAAAAGAAAGAAAATCCCCAAAAAGAAAATACTTTCATCATCATTCAACACTTTCAACTCACACATAATCACTGTTTTTGCAGAGGTGCTCAGAACACAACAGTTTAGAAGTATATTCGTATAAAAATACACAATATATCTCTCCAAACTGCCAATATCCCAAACCCCTCCTTTAGAGTGCAGGCATTGTACTTCCCATTTCCAGGACTCAAGTCCGGTTATATAAAATAACCGGTTTCCCTGAATCCCTTCACTAAATATTACCCTGCTCACACCCCAACAGATCGTCAGGTCCCAAATACCATTTGTCTCCATTCACTCCTATCTAACACGCTCACGCACGCTTGCTGGTTGGTAGACAACATCCACCCAGGGAGGTACTACCGTTCTACCAAGTGAGTGTGAAACGAAAGCCTGTAATTGTTTTACATGATGGTAGGATAGCTGGTGTCTTTTGTCTGTCTCATAAATATGCAAGATTACAGGTACGTCTTGCTGCTTCTACTTACACTTAGGTCACACTAAACATACATGTACACGTTTATTTATACACACTCATCTAAGTTTTCTTTGATTTTATCTTAGTTCTTCTTCTAATTACTTTTCCTTTTATATCCGTGGGGAAGTGGAATAAGAATCTTTCCTTCGTAAGCCATGCGTGTTGTAGGAGTCAACTAAAATGCCGGGAACAATGGGCTAGTAACCCCTTTTCCTGTAAAAATTACTAAAAAGAATAAGAATGTAAATGGGAATGTGTGTAAAGGTAGAAAGTTGAAAGTGAACATAGAAAAGAGTAAGGTGATGAGAATATCAAATGATTTAGATAAAGAAAAATTGGATATAAAATTGGGGAGGAGGAGTATGGAAGAAATGAATGTTTTCAGATAGTACTTGGGAGTTGACGTGTCGGCGGATGGATTTATGAAGGATGAGGTTAATCATAGCATTGATGAAGGAAAAAAGGTGAGTGGTGCATTGAGGTGTATGTGGAGGCAAAAAATATTATCTATGGAGGCAAAGAAGGGAATGTATGAAAGTATAGTAGTACCAACACTCTAATATGGGTGTGAAGCTTGGGTTGTAAATGCTGCAGCGAGGAGGCGGTTGGAGGCAGTGGAGATGTCCTGTCTAAGGGCAATGTGTGGTGTAAATATTATGCAGAAAATTCGGAGTGTGAAAATTAGGAGAAGGTGTGGAGTTAATAAAAGTATTAGTCAGAGGGCTGAAGAGGGTTTGTTGAGGTGGTTTGGTCATTTAGAGAGAATGGATCAAAGTAGAATGACATGGAGAGCGTATAAATCTGTAGGGGAAGGAAGGCGGGGTTGGGGTCGTCCTCGAAAAGGTTGGAGGGAGGGGGTAAAGGAGGTGTTGTGGGCGAGGGGTTTGGACTTCCAGCAAGCGTGCGTGAGCGTGTTCGATAGGAGTGAATGGAGACGAATGGTATTTGGGACCTGATGATCTGTTGGAGTGTGAGCAGGGTAATATTTAGTGAAGGGATTCAGGGAAACTGGTTATTTTATATAACCGGACTTGAGTCCTGGAAATGGGAAGTACAATGCCTGCACTCTGAAGGAGGGGTTTGGGATGCTGGCAGTTTGGAGAGATATGTTGTGTGTTTTTATACGTATATACTTCTAAACTGTTGTATTCTGGGCACCTCTGCAAAAACAGTGATTATGTGTGAGTGAGGTGAAAGTGTTGAATGATGATGAAAATATTTTCTTTTTGCGGATTTTTTTCTCTTTGGGTTACCCTGCCTCGGTGGGAGACAGCCGACTTGTTCAAAAAATATATATACAGTGGACCCCCGATTAACGATATTTTTTCATTCCAGAAGTATGTTCAGGTGCCAGTACTGACCGAATTTGTTCCCATAAGGAATATTGTGAAGTAGATTAGTCCATTTCAGACCCCCAAACATACACATACAAACGCACTTACATAAATACACTTACATAATTGGTCGCATTTGGAGGTGATCGTTAAGCGGGGGTCCACTGTATATACATATATATATATATATATATATATATATATTCTTCTTTCTTTCAATGTGCCAGCCGTATCCCACTGACGTGGGGTGGCTCAAAAGGAAAAACAAAAATTTCTCCTTTTACATTTAGTAATATATACAGGAGAAGGGGTTACTAGCCCCTTGCTCCCGGCATTTTAGTTGCCTCTTACAACACGCATGGCTTACGGAGGAAGAATTCTGTTCCACTTCCCCATGGAGATAAGAGGAAATAAACAAGAACAAGAACCAGAAATTTTTTTTAACATGCTGGCCGTCTCCCACCGAGTTAGGGTCACCCAAAAAAGAAACAATATACTGTATATGCTATATATAATACTGTGACCATTCTAGACAGAGTCAGAAGAAACCACAGACCCACCGGGTGATGCATCAAACAATACGTCATTGGAAAAGATGGAATCTTCAGGGGATATGCCTGATGAAACTTTCCCTGAGATTCTTGAAGAGGAATCTGCCTCTGGAAAAGAAATGCCTTCTGAGGAAAGTGCTGAATCTGATGAAAGTGGATCCTCTGAAGGCATATCAGAAGAAAGTATTTCAACAGAAACGCCTGTGAGTTTTGTCACAATTACTGATTGCTCTATATTTTAACACAGAAGAGAGTATCTCATGTTAGTTTTAAATATATAAATATTTTTTATAGATTTTAGGTAAAACCTTGTTCATATGTGAATCTCCAAATTTTATGTTTCGGCAGTAACAGTCATTTCTTTTATTTTACAGATAAAAGTATTTAAATTGGAGTAGCCTGTATCAGATTGTTAAGAGTGCATTAAAATAAGTAACTTTAAACTTTATAGGATCTGTTGAGTGAAGAAATGTCCTCAACTGAGGAACAGGGAAGTGGATCTTCAGAAGCTGTCTTAAAGAAAAAAACTTTTGTAGAAAATCGTAAAAAGCGGTCTCATCTGGAGGTAACAGCTAATACATTGTTAGGTTGCATAGGTCTTCCCAGTTGATACAGCAGTGAAGGAGAACTCTTTTAATGCTTTTTTTCCCATAATTTTTAATAGCCTGCTGAATAAAAGTTCAAGTGGGTGTTAGTTGCCTGAAATTACAAGCATGACATTATAGACTGATCTTGAACTCCAACATCAGTAGGTTGCATGCTACATGTTGTTGGTACAGGTACATACAAAGATCTTACTCATAAAAATTGCCATTGCATATTATGTTTATTGAAATAGAGAAAGCTTTTTTTATAAGATCTACTCTGAGATAACTCTCAGATCTGAAAAATTTCTTACATAACTCCATTTTCCAATTTTTTCCCAACTCTTCAATAGCCAAAGAGGTGAGCACCTGGCTGAGCATGTCATTATCACGATATGATATCACGAGCAGGACCGAACTATCCTGGCTGTGGGATACACCACTTGAATTTGAAGTTTTACTGCACACCTTAATGAAATTACTTTTGAATGCCAGTTTGCATTTAGCATTGATTTAATTTCTCTGGATCATGTTCCAAGTGACAGGATGTTATCTGCTGCATGATTGTCTTGATATTATTGCATATATTAATAAAAGAATGGGTTATGCTGTCAGTTTTTGTGCAAATAAGGTGTTAGTATATTTGACAAGCAATAAACCTAGCCAGGTTGCAAGAACTGTGAATTTTTATAGTAGTCAGCAAAATTATTAAATATTCTTTAACACTATTTTTTAGTACTAGTTATTGAAAAAGATCTTCAGTGCACCAAGAAGAATATAGTATTATATATTTTATGTACTTGAACAGTAGTGCAACCCCTTCCAGACTATGCATTCATGTTTATAAGTATATTTTCTAAAATTTCTTGTTTTTCATATAAATATTAACTTGTATACTTGTACGTTATGCATTTTTTTTTTTTTTTTATGTTGATGATTGTGTATTTTAGAGCTGTACAGGGCTGCAGTCAGCTTTCTTCAAGGAGATTAATAGCCTTTAATTTTTTAAAGATGTCTTTTACAGTACACTCATATTACTTGTATGAAGGATATTTTTTTAGTTCTTACATGTAATAATGTTGGTAGAATTACTGACAATATGTTAGGTAAAAGGACACAAGTGCAAATAATGGAACATTTTATTGTGGCAACGTTTCGCTCTCCAAAGCTCATGGAGAGTGAAATGTTGCTTTAATAAAATGTCGCATTAATTGCACAAGATTTTGTCATTTTACTTAACATTGAACACAGGCACTTAGGAGTCTGTGGAGACAAAAAATTTTGTCCATGGAAGCAAAGAGGGGTGTGGAGCATGTATGGTGAATGTTGCAACAAGGAGAAGACTGGAGACAGTGATGATGTCATGTCTGAGGGCAGTGTGTGGTGTGAATATAATGCAGAGAATTTGTAGTTTGGAAATTAGGAGGAGGTGCGGGATTACCAAAACTATTATCCAGAGGGCTGAAGAAAGGTTATTGAGGTGGTTCAGACATGTAGAGAGGATGGAACAAAATAGAATGACTTTGAGAGTGTACAAATCTGTAGTGGAGGGAAGGCGGGGTAAGGATCTGCCTAGGAAAAGTTGGAGGGAGGGGGTAAAGGAGGTTTTGTGTGTGAGGGGCTTGGACTTCCAGCAAGCATGCGTGAGCATATTTGATAGGAGTGAATGGAGACAAATGGTTTTTAGAACTTGATGTGCTGTTGGAGTTTGAGTAGGGTAATATTTTGTGAAGGGATTCAGAGAAACCAGAAGGCCAGACTTGAGTCCTGGAGATGGGAAGTACAGTGGACCCTCAACCAACGGCATTAATCCATTCCAGAGGGCTTGCCGTTGGTTGAGTTAATTTTCCCCATAAGAAATAATGGAAATAGAATTAATCCGTTCCTGACACCCCAAAGTCTGAATTTTTTTTTTTTTTATGTGAAATATACATTTCCTTATATGGAAAGGAATGGGACATGCAAAATAAACAATAATTAAATGACACTTACCTTTATTGTGGAGTTGTTGATGAGTGATGTGCCAGCAGCAGGGGAGATTCAGGATTGTCTATTGCTTGGAAGGAGAATCCCCTTCCATAAAGACTTCAGGTACCAAGTCCTTTGGTGGGGTTACCTCCCTGCTTGGTTTTTTAATGCCACTAGGACCAGCTTGAAAATCAGTGGACCACCATCACTACCACCCTCTACCACCACCACTTTCATATTTTTCTACAAACTTTTTCTTGAATTCTATCGTATTTCTCACATCCTTTACCAAAGGGCTGGCTCTAGAAGCTTTTGTGGGGCCCATTGTGGCTTATTTAGCAGTTATGAGCACTAGAAACAGTGGAATAATCCAAAATGTATGGGATGCACACGTGGAAACCAACCGCAACAGCTTGTAAACACTGGCACACTGACGTCGTTGGTCAAGTTTTTCACCGTTGGTTAAGGCATTTTTTCTATGGCAAAAAGTGCCGTTAGGTGAAATTGCCATTACTTAATGCCGCCGTTAGTTGAGGGTTGACTGTACAGTGTCTGCACTCTGCAGGAGGGGTGCAATGTTGCAGTTTTATAACTGTAGTGTAAGTGTTTCTCTGGCAAGATAGTGATGGAGTGAATGATGAAAATTTTTCTCTTTCGGGCCAACTGCCTTAGTGGGAAACAGCCAATGTGTTAATAAAATAAAATTATTTTTACTTTATCCAGCCTACTGATTTTTTTCAGAATTACTAGTCTTGTAGTAATGTCTTCTTTCAAGTATTATTTTAAATATAAATTAAATAACTTCTTTGTCAGCATGTCTATGACCTTGAAATCCTGATAAGTTAATTAAGTTATGCCAAACTAAATAATGCAGATTCTAGTTTTAAGGCTTTATGTCATTGTTCTCACTATTGCTGAAGATTTTTATTTCAGTTTTAATTGACAATTATTAATTTTAAAACTTATGAAATTAAAACTGGATAAACATTTAGTTCCTATGATCTGATATTTATTCGTAGGTAACTCTGAGTGATGAAGCTACTGAAGAAGGCTCAGGCTTTGGCTCATCAGGATGGAGCTCAGGTTTTTCTGGCTTATTTTCATCTGGATTAGGCTCTGGTCTATATGGCTCTGGTGAGGATACAACACTTGGAGAACCAGACATTCATCTGACCACACTTCCCTCAATATCAAAGAAACCAAAAACAGGTAATAATTTAAAAATATAAATTCTGTCCCATTGTTTTGCCAAATTTATTCTAGTTATTAAGGACAGATATCTTGAAATCCATTCAGAATATTTTCATGTATATTAGTAATTATTTTAACCCTTTGACTGTCGCAAGCCCCTTTCTGAAACTGTCATTCTATGTTGCAAAATTTTTGGAAAAAAAAAAATTGTTTTTCCTATGAAATGATAGAGAATATTTTCCCGATGGTAATAACACCAAAAGTATGAAATTTGGTAGAAAACTCACAGAATTACGCTCCCACAAAGTTAGCGGTCTCGGCGACATATATGGATTGGCGATTTTGCTGACTTTGAGCCCTGTTTTTGGACAGTTCCCTTGTTCCAGTTGACCAAACTCATAGCTATTTCTTTAGAACTCCATTTTTTCTATCAATTGAGTACAGGAAACTGCCCATTTACTGATTTGAGCTACCCAATAAAGTGGTCAGAAATTGGCAATTTGGCCAATTTCACGCAAATTAAAAAAGATGCCAATTTCAAAATAGGGTCCAGAATAAACAATGTAGACATTCTTGGCACTAAAATAACATATCCTCTGTTCATTAGTCACATCTCTAGGCCCCTCTTATATTACTATTGCTTTCTATTTTGATTTTTAGTCATACAAAAAATACAAAATTTACTGTTATGCAGACTACTGCATTATTGTAAAAATGGTATAAATAATATCAGTGCACTAGTGAAAGAATATTAGACTCCCCAGTTGGCATGTATTGGATGTGTAGTATGATTTGCTTACTCTTGAACATTGGTAAAAATCGAACATTTCCTCTACTTTGAGTTCAATTTCAAGGTCGTTTTCCTCATGAAACTAATCAAAATCATCTCTATTTCTGCAATGTGTTTCCAGTTTTATCACATGAAACCATGAAAACGAGAATACAATGATAAATGCTATACAAAAATGCACCTCAAAGTCGGCGTTTTAATCCAAAACAAAAGAACAGATTTTTTTTCTCATTATGCACTGCGTGCTGCAGGATTTTTTTATGTGGTGCACACTGACCACACAGACCCATTCTCTCACATGTGGGCCTACCAGCTTTCTCCTGCTTGATTTGAAGCCACTAGAATTATTGAGTATATATACGTCTAACCTAGGTAGTAGGTTGGTAGACCGCAACCGCCCAGGGAGGTACTACCGTCCTGCCAAGTGAGTGTAAAACGAAAGCCTGTAGTTGTTTTACATGATGGTAGGATTGCTGGTGTCCATTTTTCTGTCTCGTAAACCTGCAAGATTTCAAGTACGTGTTGCTACTTCTTCTTACACTTAGGTCACACTACACATATATGTACAAGCATATATATATGTACACACCCCTCTGCATTTTCTTCTATTTTCTTACTAGTTCTTTTTTATTTCCTGTTCTCTCCATAGGGAAGTGGAACAGAATTCTTCCTCCATAAGCCATGTGTGTTGTAAGAGGTGACTAAAATGCCGGGAGCAAGGGGCTAGTAACCCCTTCTCCTGTATTTTATTATCTTTTTTTTTTTATTATCACACCGGCCGATTCCCACCAAGGCAGGGTGGCCCGAAAAAGAAAAACTTTCACCATCATTCACTCCATCACTGTCTTGCCAGAAGGGTGCTTTACACTACAGTTTTTAAACTGCAACATTAACACCCCTCCTTCAGAGTGCAGGCACTGTACTTCCCATCTCCAGGACTCAAGTCCGGCCTGCCGGTTTCCCTGAATCCCTTCATAAATGTTACTTTGCTCACACTCCAACAGCACGTCAAGTATTAAAAACCATTTGTCTCCATTCACTCCTATCAAACACGCTCACGCATGCCTGCTGGAAGTCCAAGCCCCTCGCACACAAAATCTCCTTTACCCCCTCCCTCCAACCCTTCCTAGGCCGACCCCTACCCCGCCTTCCTTCCACTACAGACTGATACACTCTTGAAGTCATTCTGTTTCGCTCCATTCTCTCTACATGTCCGAACCACCTCAACAACCCTTCCTCAGCCCTCTGGACAACAGTTTTGGTAATCCCGCACCTCCTCCTAACTTCCAAACTACGAATTCTCTGCATTATATTCACACCACACATTGCCCTCAGACATGACATCTCCACTGCCTCCAGCCTTCTCCTCGCTGCAACATTCATCACCCACGCTTCACACCCATATAAGAGCGTTGGTAAAACTATACTCTCATACATTCCCCTCTTTGCCTCCAAGGACAAAGTTCTTTGTCTCCACAGACTCCTAAGTGCACCACTCACTCTTTTTCCCTCATCAATTCTATGATTCACCTCATCTTTCATAGACCCATCCGCTGACACGTCCACTCCCAAATATCTGAATACGTTCACCTCCTCCATACTCTCTCCCTCCAATCTGATATTCAATCTTTCATCACCTAATCTTTTTGTTATCCTCATAACCTTACTCTTTCCTGTATTCACCTTTAATTTTCTTCTTTTGCACACCCTACCAAATTCATCCACCAATCTCTGCAACTTCTCTTCAGAATCTCCCAAGAGCACAGTGTCATCAGCAAAGAGCAGCTGTGACAACTCCCACTTTGTGTGTGATTCTTTATCTTTTAACTCCACGCCTCTTGCCAAGACCCTCACATTTACTTCTCTTACAACCCCATCTATAAATATATTAAACAACCACGGTGACATCACACATCCTTGTCTAAGGCCTACTTTTACTGGAAAAAATTTCCCTCTTTCCTACATACTCTAACTTGAGCCTCACTATCCTCGTAAAAACTCTTCACTGCTTTCAGTAACCTACCTCCTACACCATACACTTGCAACATCTGCCACATTGCCCCCCTATCCACCCTGTCATACGCCTTTTCCAAATCCATAAATGCCACAAAGACCTCTTTAGCCTTATCTAAATACTGTTCACTTATATGTTTCACTGTAAACACCTGGTCCACACACCCCCTACCTTTCCTAAAGCCTCCTTGTTCATCTGCTATCCTGTTCTCCGTCTTACTCTTAATTCTTTCAATTATAACTCTACCATACACTTTACCAGGTACACTCAACAGACTTATCCCCCTATAATTTTTGCACTCTCTTTTATCCCCTTTGCCTTTATACAAAGGAACTATGCATGCTCTCTGCCAATCCCTAGGTACCTTACCCTCTTCCATACATTTATTAAATAATTGCACCAACCACTCCAAAACTATATCCCCACCTGCTTTTAACATTTCTATCTTTATCCCATCAATCCCGGCTGCCTTACCCCCTTTCCTGTATATATTACCGAATGTAAAAGGAGAAGCTTTCGTTTTTCCTTTTGGGCCACCCCGCCTTGGTGGGATACAGCCGGTGTGTTGAAAGAAAGAAGATATATGTCCGAAACACTGACTCGTAAGGTGTATATATACAACCAAAACAGTCAAAGGGTTAGTAACCCTGTTGTCTGTCATACAAGATATGATTTTATTTTCAGAAAAATTAAGTTCAAAATACTTTGTCTCTTATACAGCACTGTCAAAAGTATTACTAAGGAAATTGATGAGAATGCTTTTAACTTTTATGTTATCATGTTTACAGGGAAGCACTAAATCAATAAAAGTTTTACAGCATCAGGAAAACAGAAGGTTACTGGGGTAATAAGGTAAAGTCCAAGGAAAGGGAGTTAGGGCAAGTAGGTAACTGAAGCCAAGACAGTAGTGCCTAAGCAACAGTTATTTTACAGCTGTACATTTTATTAGTAAGTAAGGCCTTATTTAAATTATGCAGTGTAGTTTTGGTCTCCATACTACAGAATGTGTATAAATGCATTGGGGAACATACGAGAATGACAAAACTAATCCACTACATAATGAAGCATCCTACGAAGAAAATTGAGAGCTCTAAACCTACGCCCTCTTGAAATGTAGAATGGGAGGAGATATGATTGAGTATACAGATGGAATGCCCTTAGCCTGGCAGTGGGAAGGGGTTGCTACGTATGGCAAATTATGGACACTTAAAGTATGTTTAGTCTTGTGTGAATGTCAGAGACATTAAGCAGATTAATTGAGGATCTTAGCTGAATGAGATAGGATCATAATAAGAAGTCATTAACAACTCATAAGGAATGCTGTATTACATTTAATCTCTTGTGAGGAGAGGGAAAGAGAAGAAAGAGGAGGGGAAATAGTACTTACCCCCTCTCCCTAGTGGGGACATAACAGATTCTTCACCCCCCCCAGGAGGAGGGGGGTTGAGAGGCTAGTGGAAAATTGCACTACATTTATCACAGATACTTCAAAATGTTGTAAGTGGCAATTACGTAAGTTGAAATGTGAATTGCACTAAAAGTGACTAAATTTAGGTAAACCTCATATTTTGAAGGAGACTTGGGCTATGCTCTCCTTGCATGTGCTCACATATTTAGGATCTGGTAGCTCCAAAGTAATGCCAAAAATCTCACTAAGTATGTTCTCACTTTATATGTTGTGTATTTACAATTTGCTTCTTAAACAAACTTTTGAAAAGTTAAAAATAGCAAAGTTCAGAATGTAAACAAGTTTCTTAATTTTTATATTTAACTCTCTGACTGTCGCAACCCCAAATCATGAAGTGTCTCCTGGTGTCAAAAAATTTTTGGAAAAAAAAAAAATAATTTTTTTTCTCTTGAAATGATAGAGAATCTTTTCCCGATAGTAATGACACCAAAAGTATGAAATTTGAACGAAAACTTATGGAATTACGCTCCCGCGAAGTTAGTGAACTCGGCGATATATATGCATCGGCGATTTTGCCAACTTTGAGCCCTATTTTCGGCCAATTCCATTGTTCTAGTTGACCAAACTCATAGCTGTTTCTTTAGAACTCCATTTTTTCTATCAATTGAGTACAAGAAACTACCCATTTACCAATTTCAACTACCCAATAAAGTAGTCAGAAACTGGCAATTTGGCCAATTTCATGCAAATTAAAAAAGATGCCAATTTCAAAATAGGGTCCAGAATAAACAATGTAGACATTCTTG